CGAACACTAGTCACAGCAATAACGAACACTAATCACAGCAATAAATGAACACTAGTCATAGCAATAACGAACACTAGTCACAGCAATAAATGAACACTAGTCACAGCAATAATGAACACTAGTCACAGCAATAAATGAAAACTAGTCATAGCAATAAATGAACGCTAGTCACAGCCATAACGAATATAGTCACAGCAATAACGAACACTAGTCACAACAATAAATGAACACTAGTCACAGCAATAACGAACACTAGTCACAGCAATAAATGAACACTAGTCACAGCAATAACGAATATAGTCACAGCAATAACGAACACTAGTCACAGCGATAAATGAACACTAGTCACAGCAATAACGAACACTAGTCACAGCAATAAATGAACACTGGTCTCAGCAATAAATGAACACTAGTCACAGCATAACGAACACTAGTCACAGCAATGAATTAGTCACAGCAATAAATTAGTCACAGCAATAAATTAGTCACAACAATAAATTATTCACAGCAATAAATGAACACTAGTCACAACTATAAATGAACACTAGTCACAGCAATGAATGAACATTAGTCACAGCAATAAATGAACACTAGTCACAGCAATAACAAACACTAGTCACAGCAATAACGAACACTAGTCACAGCAATAAATGAACACTAGTCACAGCAATAAATGAACATTAGTCACAGCAATAAATGAACACTAGTCACAGCAATAACGAACACTAGTCACAGCAATAACGAACACTAGACACAGCAATAACAAACACTAGTCACATCCATAAATGAATACTTGTCACAGCAATAAATGAACACTAGTCACAGCAATAAATGAACACTAGGCACAGCAATAACGAACACTAGTCACAGCAATAAATGAATACTAGTCTTAGCGATAACGAACACTAGTCACAACAATAAATGAACACTAGTGTAAGCAATAAATTAACACTAGTCACATCAATAAATGAATACTAGTCACAACAATAAATGAACACTAGTCATAGCAATAACGATCACTAGTCACAGCAATAAATGAACACTAGTCACAGCAATAAATGAATACTAGTCACAGCAATAAATGAATACTAGTCACAGCAATAAATGAATACTAGTCACAGCAATAAATGAACACTAGTCACAGCAATAAATGAACACTAGTCACAGCAATAACGAACACTAGTCACAGCAATAAATGAATACTAGTCACATCAATAACGAACACTAGTCACAGCAATAAATGAATACTAGTCACAGCAATAAATAAACACTAGTCACAGCAATAAATGAATACTAGTCACAGCAATAAATGAACGCTAGTCACAGCAATAAATGAACACTAGTCACAGCAATAAATGAATACTAGTCACAGCAATAAATGAATACTAGTCACAGCAATAAATAAACACTAGTCACAGCAATAAATGAATACTAGTCACATCAATAACGAACACGAGTCACAGCAATAAATGAATACTAGTCACAGCAATAAATAAACACTAGTCACAGCAATAAATGAATACTAGTCACAGCAATAAATGAATACTAGTCACAGCAATAAATGAACACTAGTCACAGCAATAAATGAACACTAGTCACAGCAATAAATGAATACTAGTCACAGCAATAAATGAACACTAGTCACAGCAATAACGAACATTAGTCACAGCAATAAATGAATACTAGTCACAGCAATAAATGAACACTAGTCACAGCAATAAATGAACACTAGTCACAGCAATAAATGAACACTAGTCACAGAAATAAATAAACACTAGTCATAGCAATAACGAACACCAAACACATCAATAACATCAAATGAAGCACACATTCAACAAAATTGAAAGCACAATTAGAGTGCCGACACAACAGTGAAACCAGTTCGAGTGTTATTTGTGTATGTCACACTTCAGCTCATGACAGTTATTTAGTAACAAATTATGTAGACTTCATGATACAGTTGTGTTGTTTGATGGTGATATATCGCACCCAACCCTCTGACACACGGCTTACCATCCCGCTGTTACATAGCCTACCACCCTCCGAGATATAGCCTACCATTCCTCTGATACATAGCCTACCATCCCTCTGATACATCGCCTACCATCCCTCTGATTCATAGCCAACCATCCCTCTGATACATCGCCTACCATCCATCTGATACATAGCCTACCATTCCTCTGATACATAGCCTACCATCCATCTGATACATAGCCTACCATCCATCTGATACATAGCCTACCATCATTCTGATACATAGCCTACCATTCCTCTGATACATCGTCTACCATTCCTCTGTTACATAACCTACCATCCCTCTGATACTTCGCCTGTCATTCCTCTGATACATAGCCTACCATCCCTCTGATACATAGCTACCACTCCTCTGATACATAGCCTACCATCCCTCTGATACATAGCTACCATTTCTCTGATACATAGCCTACCATCCCTCTGATACTTCGCCTACCATCCCTCTTATACATAGCCTACCATTTTTGTCTTACAACACTCCTGATTCTAATGGAGCTCAATGCTAAACCTGTCATGCACCCATCCTAAACTCTGAATATTTCATGTCATGAAATTGTCGGACGTCAACAAACAGATTTAAACTAATGAAGCAATCGATTATTGGTATCGTCGCCTATTCCATATTCCAAGGCTGTATTGAGTCTTGGTATCGTGAGTACCATATTCCAAGGCTGTATTGAGTCTTGGTATCGTGAGTACCATATTCCAAGGCTGCATTGAGTCTTGGTATCGTGAGTACCATATTCCAAGGCTGTATTGATTCTTGATATCGTGAGTACCATATTCCAAGGCAGTATCGACATTTGAAGGAGAAACTAAAAACAATGTTTTGGATAAAAATCCTGTGTATGCATTTTGTTTTTACATTTACGAAATTGTACGTGATTTATCATGTATGTGATTTATCATGTATGTGATTTATTATTTGTTTGATTTATCATTTATGTGATTTATCATTTATGTGATTTATCATTTATGTGATTTATCATTTATGTGATTTATCATTTATGTGATTGTAGCAACTGATTCTTGGTATGGGAATAGTTCTTATCAAACTAAGTGCATGTAAAACATAACAGACTTAAGATATATTTCAACCCAAATACATCACAAACACAAAGCACATGGCAACAACTGCACAATTAATCCCACACCAAAACACGCACCCATTGAACAGATCATATTTCATTGAATCTTCCCTTTGGAAATGATGAAAACTGATTTTTTGGGGGTCGGGGTGCGGATGTAGCTCAAAATTTGAAGAAAAAAAAATGTGTTGTCATCGGCAACGAGTTTAAGTCCCAAATTTCAGCTCGATAGGATGACGGGAAGTGGTTCAATTAACCTTCCGAAGATGTTGCCGCCACAAAGAAACATACGAACATAAGATTTTAAAAAAAACAAAAAAAACACCATGTCATCATTATCAATTCTTTATTTCATGGCTTGCCTGACATTGCGAAAGCAAGGGGCGAGTATCGATCCCATCTTATAGATTAGACTCGTCGCACTTGCTTGTAGTATCGGAGTTTAAACAGCTCGATACTTGGCGGGCCGTGTCAGTGCTTTCAATTTGACCACTCAGCTAAAAAACCCAGTCGATAGCAGTAAAGAATGGGACTGGCAGAGCTCCGTCATTATAAATGTAGCTTGGAAGCCGTGTTTGGATCGGTCATCTGTACATGCCAGTATTTCCTTTTCAACTTTTTTTGTTGTTTTTTAAAGATCGTTTGTGTCAGTGTTATTGTCTTGTTGCTGTGTCTACCGGTGTCTATGCTTTAATTCTGTGTTGATGTCAATAGATAAAGGGGATTTGGAGGCTTTCAATCATGTAATACATTTTTACACAACAAATTCCACTTGACCTGTTACACTACTCCCCCCCTTCCCCTGCCCAAAACCGCTTTGTAGTTAGCAAAGAGGGCGCGTGACTGTTTTACCCCCCTTTCCTGTTTAAGCTTTCTGCCCCCTGCCCCCCTTTTTTATGTGCATTCAAAGTTATTAGTTGTTATTTCACCTCACAACTTTGGGCCCCTTAAGCATCCCAGTCCCCATCCCCCACCTCTTACACCCACTGGGGTTGCAGGCCCCACGCGACGGCCCTGTTAACGAGGCATCAAAGATCAGAAGATTTTAGATCGTTGGTTGGTCATGTTCTAGTTTGAGAATCGCTGCGATGGTGTCCTAGAGAGTGTTCAAATGTTCTTAAGCTACATGTTGTGTAGTGTGTGTCCTACACACCAGTCATGTCCTACACACCAGTCATGCCCTACACACCAGTCATGTCCTACACACCAGTCATGTTCTACACACCAGTCATGTTCTACACACCAGTCGTCCTTGATCAAAAGACAAACGGGAACTGGGACACAGGTGTCTGTGTTGAAATGGAACCTTGTTAGTTCGGTGGTTCTCACACGTTAGTTGTCGATGGTATAGAATTGTATTTGAATGCAATCTGAGCAGATCACCCTTGTGGCCGAAATCATGGACGTCACGGTACTCTCCAACGTGTGTCCTAGTGACCTAGTTGTTACATTGAACGCTTGGCCTCGTTAGACCGTGATCTGATCTGTGATGTGACCTTTACAAAGAATAACGATGCAAAAAATGTGGACCCTTTCACGGTCAATTCCACAACCATTCCTATATCAATATTGATGTAATGAAAATTTTGAATTTTCTAGAGTTCCTTTTTTTTTTAAAGTCGTGGATGTTGGTGAATTAAAGCTCTAGATAATGTATTTAAATGTTCTAAGATTTATCATTACCTTGATTTATTGATTGCCTTAAATCACAATTGTTAAGTCCCAAGGGGCCTGGGTGATAGCCTCAAACCACCAAATTGAAAAACACTCTGTAACATTACACTTCATTTAGCTGTAAAATGATATTTGTTTTCATTGTCTTTTTTTTTTTCATTAATTTTTTTTTTATCATTTTTTTTTTCGTGTATTATTTTCAGTCGTAAATTTCTTCCCGAGAAAACTCGCCACAAACGGCAGACGTTGCAGGACATGACTCGGCCGTTAAAGTTGTGGCTGGTCAAACACAGGGACAATCCTTACCCTTCGAAATCTGAGAAAATGGAGCTGGTCAAAGTCAGTCACATGACTCTGACACAGGTCAGTTGTGGTTCTGTCAATCGATGACGCTGTGTTCTGTCAATCAATGACGTTGTGTTCTGTCAATCGATGATGTTGTGTTCTGTCTATCAATGACGCTGTGTTCTGTCAATCGATGATGTTGTGTTCTGTCAATCAATGACGCTGTGTTCTGTCAATCAATGATGGTGTGCTATGTCAATAAATGACGTTGTGTTCTGTCAATCAATGATGTTGTGCTCTGTCAATCAATGATGTTGTGCTCTGTCAATCAATGATGTTGTGTTATGTCAATCAATGATGTTGTGCTCTGTCAATCAATGATGTTGTGTTCTTTCAATCAATGATGTTGTGTTCTTTCAATCAATGATGTTGTATTCTGTCAACCAATGATGTTGTGTTCTGTCAATCAATGATGTTGTGTTCTGTCAATCTGTTTGTGTCGTGTTGTTATTGTTTGTGTTGTTATTGTTTATGTTGTCATTGTTTGTGCTGTGTTATTATTATTCATGTTGCTATTTTTTGTGTCGTGTTGTTTTTGTTCCAGTTTTTATTTTTTGTGTCGTTTTGTTATTTTGTGTGTTTGTTATGTTTTTGTAGTGTTGTTATTGTTTTTTGTTATTACTTGTGTTGTTATTGTTTGTATTAATTAGTGTGTTGTTATCGTTTGTATTGATATCGTTTTTGTCGTTTGGGTTGTTATTGTTTATGTTGTTATTGTTTATGTTGTTATTGTTTGCGTTGTTATTTTTTTCATAGTGTTTCCATCACCCAGAAACCGTTCAAGCAATGTTGATACAAAGTGGCTACTCCGACCCGGGTCCGCGAATTGAGAGGTTGGGATTAAAGCTTTAAAAAATATATAAGTGTTAGGTTGTAAAGACAAAATTTGGTATCATATGAAAGATAATTGAGTGGATTTGATCAGGCATGCACTACTTCAGGCATGCACTACTTCAGGCATGCACTACTTCAGGCATGCACTACTTCAGGCATGCACTACTTCAGGCATGCACTACTTCAGGCATGCACTACTGAAAATGTTAGGAGGACCGTAATACGTTAAGAAAAACAAGAAAATAAGATAGGACTTGTGCGGGCCAAAAGAAAATAAGACAGGACTTGTGTGGGCCAAAAGAAAATAAGACATAGACTTGTGCGGGCCAAAAGAAAATAAGACAGGACTTGTGCGGGCCAAAAGAAAATAAGACAGGACTTGTGCGGGCCAAAAGAAAATAAGACAGGACTTGTGCGGGCCAAAAGAAAATAAGACAGGACCAAAGGAATATAGGTCAGGAGGGAAGCTTGTAATAAAATAATAAGAATAAAGAGGTTTTTGTTACCCCCCCCCCGGCCACAAAGTGGGTGCTGGCAGGCCACATGCGGACCCGGGTCCGAATAGCGGTGATGCGTCTCCGGTTCTATTTTGGGTGTCCATTAAACGGTACGTGCCTTGGCCATGTCCGCCAAGGTCAAGGCCACAGATCCGGGCCGTTCACGTTTCTTATTGATTTCACAGAGGAGCGGGGAACTGCTCGGTGTTTGTTCTAAGTGTGTTGACGGCGGTCGTAATGTCGTCATGCCATTGTTCTATGTGTGTTGACGGCGGTCGTAATGTCGTCATGCCATTGTTCTATGTGTGTTGACGGCGGTCGTAATGTCGTCATGCCATTGTTCTATGTGTGTTGACGGCGGTCGTAATGTCGTCATGTCATTGTTCTATGTGTGTTGACGGCGGTTGTAATGTGTTTGTTCTACGTGTGTTGACGGCGGTCGTCATGCCATTGTTCTATGTGTGTTGACGGCGGTCATAATGTGTTTGTTCTGTGTGTTGACGGCGGTCGTAATGTGTTTGTTCTATGTGTGTTGAGGGCGGTCTTAATATGTTTGTTCTATGTGTGTTGACGGCGGTCGTAATATGTTTGTTCTATGTGTGTTGACGGCGGTCGTAATGTGTTTGTTCTATGTGTGTTGACGGCGGTCGTAATGTGTTTGTTCTGTGTGTGTTGACGGCGGTCGTATGATGTGTGTTCATGTGTGTTGACGGCGGTCGTTATATGTTTGTTCTAGCTCTTCGGTTGTGATGGCGGTCTTAATATGTTTGTTCTATGTGTGTTGGCGGCGGTCGTAATGTGTTTGTTCTATGTGTGTTGACGGCGGTCGTAATGTGTTTGTTCTATGTGTGTTGACGGCGGTCATAATGTGTTTGTTCTGTGTGTGTTGACGGCGGTCGTAATATGTGTGTTCATGTGTGTTGACGGCGGTCGTTATATGTTTGTTCTATGTGTGTTGAGGGCGGTCGTAATATGTTTGTTCTATGTGTGTTGACGGCGGTCGCAATGTCGTTACTCCTTTGGTTGTAATGTCGTTACTCCTTTGGTCTTAATGTCTTACTCCTTTGGTTGTAATGTCGTTATTCCTTTTGTCGTAATATCGAAACTCAGTTGTTGTAAGGCCATCTGATGGTGTCCTGTGTTTCCTCAGTTGTTGGAAGGCCATCTGATGGTGTCCTGTGTTTCCTCAGTTGTTGGAAGGCCAACTGATGGTGTCCTGTGTTTCCTCAGTTGTTGGAAGGCCATCTGATGGTGTCCTGTGTTTCCTCAGTTGTTGGAAGGCCATCTGATGGTGTCCTGTGTTTCCTCAGTTGTTGGAAGGCCATCTGATGGTGTCCTGTGTTTCCTCAGTTCTTGGAAGGCCATCTGATGGTGTCCTGTGTTTCCTCAGTTCTTGGAAGGCCATCTGATGGTGTCCTGTGTTTCCTCAGTTCTTGGAAGGCCATCTGATGGTGTCCTGTGTTTCCTCAGGTCAGCAACTGGTTCGCTAACGCGAGAAGACGTCTGAAGAATACGGTCAGGGGCGACAACTTCACATGGGCCAAACGGATTAAGGCATACAACAAGTGTGCAGAGGGAAATGTTGAGCTCCTGAGCTTACCCTCCTCTGAAGACGATTGGGACTCACAGGATGACCTAGGTAAGTTAGCTCCTGAGTGTACCATCCTCTGATGGTGTTGGGGACTCGCAGGAGGTCCTAGGTAAGTTTCTACGGCTGTGAGGGTGGGGAATTGAAAATGGTGATTATATGTGGTAAGATCACCTGACATCTGGCTTAATCACATGGCATCTGGTTTAATGTTTGATCCAGTCGTTTATAGACTGTTCAGGAAATAGTTGCACATGTGGGTCATTAGGCTCTTGTAGGTCTTGAGGGTCTTGAAGATCTTGAGGGTCTTGTAGGTCTTGAGGGTCTTGTAGGTCTTGTACGTCTTGAGGGACTTGTGGGTCTTGTAGGTCTTGTGGGTCTTGTAGGTCTTGAGGGTCTTGTGGGTCTTGTAAGTCTTCAGGGTCTTGATGGTCTTGTAAGTCTTGCCGGTCTTGTTGGCCTTGTAGGTCTTGAGGGTCTTGTCGGTCTTGTGAGTCTTGAGGGTCTTTTGGGTCTTGTAGGTCTTGTTGGTCTTGTAGGTCTTGTGGGTCTTGTAGGTCTTGAGGGTCTTATTGGTCTTGTAGTTTTTAAGGGTCTTGTGGGTCTTGTAGGTCTTGAGAATCTTGTGGGTCATGTAGGTCTTGTAGGTCTTGAGGGTCTTGTAGGTCTTGTGGGTCTTGTAGGTCTTGAGGATCTTGTGGGTCTTGTAGGTCTTGAGGGTCTTGTTGGTCTTGTAGGTCTTGTGGGTCTTATAGGTCTTGAGGGTCTTGTAGGTCTTGTAGGTCTTGAGGGACTTGTGGGTCTTGTAGGTCTTGTGGGTCTTGTAGGTCTTGAGGGTCTTGTGGGTCTTGTTGGTCTTCAGGGTCTTGATGGTCTTGTAAGTCTTGACGGTCTTGTTGGCCTTGTAGGTCTTGAAGGTCTTGAGGGTCTTGTGGGTCTTGTGAGTCTTGAGGGTCTTTTGGGTTTTGTAGGTCTTGTTGGTCTTATAGGTCTTGTGGGTCTTGTGGGTCTTGTAGGTCTTGAGGGTCTTGTAGGTCTTGTGGGTCTTGTAGGTCTTGAGGGTCTTGTAGGTCTTGAGGGTCTTGTAGGTCTTGTACGTCTTGAGGGACTTGTGGGTCTTGTAGGTCTTGTGGGTCTTGTAGGTCTTGAGGGTCTTGTGGGTCTTGTAAGTCTTCAGGGTCTTGATGGTCTTGTAAGTCTTGCCGGTCTTGTTGGCCTTGTAGGTCTTGAGGGTCTTGTCGGTCTTGTGAGTCTTGAGGGTCTTTTGGGTCTTGTAGGTCTTGTTGGTCTTGTAGGTCTTGTGGGTCTTGTAGGTCTTGAGGGTCTTATTGGTCTTGTAGTTTTTAAGGGTCTTGTGGGTCTTGTAGGTCTTGAGAATCTTGTGGGTCATGTAGGTCTTGTAGGTCTTGAGGGTCTTGTAGGTCTTGTGGGTCTTGTAGGTCTTGAGGATCTTGTGGGTCTTGTAGGTCTTGAGGGTCTTGTTGGTCTTGTAGGTCTTGTGGGTCTTATAGGTCTTGAGGGTCTTGTAGGTCTTGTAGGTCTTGAGGGACTTGTGGGTCTTGTAGGTCTTGTGGGTCTTGTAGGTCTTGAGGGTCTTGTAGGTCTTGTACGTCTTGAGGGACTTGTGGGTCTTGTAGGTCTTGTGGGTCTTGTAGGTCTTGAGGGTCTTGTGGGTCTTGTAAGTCTTCAGGGTCTTGATGGTCTTGTAAGTCTTGCCGGTCTTGTTGGCCTTGTAGGTCTTGAGGGTCTTGTCGGTCTTGTGAGTCTTGAGGGTCTTTTGGGTCTTGTAGGTCTTGTTGGTCTTGTAGGTCTTGAGGGTCTTGTGGGTCTTGTGGGTCTTGTGGGTCTTGAGGGTCTTGTGGGTCTTGTGGGTCTTGTTGGTCTTGTGGGTCTTGTGGGTCTTGTGGGTCTTGTGGGTCTTGAGGGTCTTGTAGGTCTTGAGGGTCTTGTAGGTCTTGAGGGTCTTGTGGGTCTTGTAGGTTTTGAGGGTCTTGTTGGTCTTGTAGGTCTTGAGGGTCTTGTGGGTCTTGTAGGGTCTTGAGGGTCTTTTGGGTCTTGTGGGTCTTCTATGTCTTGTGGGTCTTGTAGGTCTTGTAGGTCTTGTAGGTCTTGAGGGTCTTGTAGTTCTTGTAGGTCTTGAGGGTCTTGTAGGTCTTGAGGGTCTCTTTAGGTCTTGTGGTTCTTTTAGGTATTGAGGGTCTTTTAGGTCTTGTAGGTCTTGAGGGTCTTGTGGGTATTGTAGGTCTTGAGGGTCTTGTTGGTCTTGTAGGTCTTCAGGGTCTTGTAGGTCTTGTTGGTATTTGGCTCTTGAGGGTTTTGTGGGTCTTGATGGTGTTTTAGGTCTTGTAGGTCATGAGGGTCTTGAGGGTCTTGTGTGTCTTGTGAGTCGTGAGGTTCTTTTGGGTCTTGTGGGTCTTGTTGGTCTTCAGGGTCTTGATGGTCTTGTAAGTCTTGACGGTCTTGTTGGCCTTGTAGGTCTTGAAGGTCTTGAGGGTCTTCTGGGTCTTGTGAGTCTTGAGGGTCTTGTAGTTCTTGTAGGTCTTGAGGGTCTTGTAGGTCTTGAGGGTCTTGTAGGTCTTGTAGGTCTTGAGGGTCTTGTGGGTATTGTAGATCTTGAGGGTCTTGTTGGTCTTGTAGGTCTTCAGGGTCTTGTAGGTCTTGTAGGTCTTCAGGGTCTTGTAGGTCTTGTAGGTCTTGTAGGTTTTGTAGGTCTTGAGGGACTTGTGGGTCTTGTAGGTCTTGTGGGTATTGTACGTCTTGTGGGTCTTGTGGGTCTTGTAGGTGTTCAGGGTCTTGATGGTCTTGTAAGTTTTGACGGTCTTGTTGGTCTTGTAGGTCTTGTAGGTTTTGAGGGTCTTGTGAATCTTGAGGGTCTTTTGGGTCTTGTAGGTCTTGTTGGTCTTGGGCTCTTGAGGGTTTTGTGGGTCTTGAGGGTGTTTTAGGTCTTGTAGGTCATGAGGGTCTTGAGGGTCTTGTGTGTCTTGTGAGTCGTGAGGTTCTTTTGGGTCTTGTGGGTCTTGTTGGTCTTCAGGGTCTTGATGGTCTTGTAAGTCTTGACGGTCTTGTTGGCCTTGTAGGTCTTGAAGGTCTTGAGGGTCTTGTGGGTCTTGTGAGTCTTGAGGGTCTTTTGGGTTTTGTAGGTCTTGTTGGTCTTATAGGTCTTGTGGGTCTTGTGGGTCTTGTAGATTGTGGGTCTTGTAGGTCTTTTGGGTCTTGTGGGTCTTGTAGGGTCTTGAGGGTCTTGTGGGTCTTGTGGGTCTTCTAGGTCTTGTGGGTCTTGTAGTTCTTGTAGGTCTTGAGGGTCTTGTAGGTCTTGAGGGTCTTGTAGGTCTTGAGGGTCTCTTTAGGTCTTGTGGGTCTTTTAGGTATTGAGGGTCTTTTAGGTCTTGTAGGTCTTGAGGGTCTTGTGGGTCTTGTAGGTCTTGAGGGTCTTGTTGGTCTTGTAGGTCTTCAGGGTCTTGTAGGTCTTGTAGGTCTTGTGGGTCTTGTAGGTCTTGGGGGTCTTGTAGGTCTTGAGGGACTTGTGGGTCTTGTAGGTCTTGTGGGTATTGTAGGTCTTGAGGGTCTTGTGAGTCTTGTAGGTCTTCAGGGTCTTGATGGTCTTGTAAGTTTTGACGGTCTTGTTGGTCTTGTAGGTCTTGTAGGTTTTGAGGGTCTTGTGAATCTTGAGGGTCTTTTGGGTCTTGTAGGTCTTGTTTGTCTTGAGGCTCTTGAGGGTTTTGTGGGTCTTGAGGGTGTTTTAGGTCTTGTAGGTCATGAGGGTCTTGTGTGTCTTGTGAGTCGTGAGAATCTTTTGGGTCTTGATGGTCTTGTTGGTCTTGAGGGTCTTGATGGTCTAATAGGTCTTGAGGGTCTTGTTGGTCTTGTAGGTCTTGTAGGTCTTGAGGGTCTTTCTTGTAGGTCTTGATGGTCTTGTAGGTCTTGAGGGTCTTGTGGGTCTTGTGGGTCTTTTAGGTTCTTGATGTTCTTGTGGGTCTTTTTGGATTCGATGTGACGAAATGTCTTTTATATTTTGACCAAATCAAAATCATATGACCGAATTCTTCCAAATTGTTCAGCTTCATTCCGTGATCAGTGATGGCTTGGCGTGAATGTTTAGAGTTTTCATTGTTTAGTAGTAAAACTCTCCGAAATCATATTGTCGAATGAGGGGTGGAGGTTGTAACATCATGGCCGACAGTCATGTGACTGTGACATCACATAGAGAGAGAGAGAGAGAGAGAGAGAGTAAAAGTTGTGTAGAAAGTGTGTTATAGTTTAGTGCACATAACATGGTTTTAGCTAAGTGCACATACATGTGTTATAGCTTGGTGCACATAAGTGTGTTATAGTTTAGTGCACATGCATGTGTTACAGCTTAGTGCACATGCATGTGTTATAGCTTAGTGCACATGCATGTGTTATAGCTTAGTGCACATGCATGTGTTATAGCTTAGTGCACATGCATGTGTTATAGCTTAGTGTACATGCATGTGTTATAGCTTAGTGTACATGCATGTGTTATAGCTTAGTGCACATGCATGTGTTATAGCTTAGTGCACATAAAGCTTAAACTCCATCCGGTGTCACGCTTCAGGCAACAACGAGACACGATCAGATCAAGTCTTGAACAATTTAGTTGTTCTTGTCAGCACAAGGTATTAGAATCAGAGCCCATTAGTCACTGTAGAAAGGCCCAATCATTTCTCCACTTGATCGGTTTCCGATGAAAGCGTTTTTTGCTGGTTTTCAGATCGGGTTCTTTTGGAGATTTTTTTTTTTTTGGCTCCTTTAATGCGCACGATCTAAAGTGGTTATTCGTGGAAGAAATCTCCGTGACCTCGAGAGGGAACAGGGGAACAGGCCTGGAACGGCATAGGATCAAAGGATTAACGGAGTGGCTTTACGGAACCTAATCAGCGGGGAGGGGTGGGTGGTTGGACCAGGAGTAGGTTAAGTTTATGTGGGGGGGGGTGTTTGCTTGGAAGGTAGAGAGGAGGAGGCGAGTAAGGAATGATTTTTAAGGTCGTCAATTCTTTTG